AGGCGCCTTGGCCTTGATCATCCAGGGCTTTCGCCCCTGCGGGGGAAGAATGATGTGCACATCCGTTCATCCGGCCCCCGAGAGAGCCTCAAGAAGGTGAGCCTTGGACTCGCCAGGCCACTGCAGTAGCAGGCGGCTTGGAATCCCCAGTGTATCTGAGGCCCAAACACGCTCCTCCTCCTGTGCAGAAAGCAAGAGGAAGCTTAGCAGTGTATGCTTGATTTTTGCACTTCAAGAAGTATGTGGCGTAAGAGTCGTCCGCATTCTTATCGAGCCATTGCACTGGCTGCTTACAGAAATCACTCTTCTGCTGTGCCAGAGGCCTGCCAAAGATGCCATCCTTGCCGTTGTTGTTCTGAAGCTGCGAAGCCCCGTGCGCTGTAAGCTTAGCAAAGCCTTCAAGAAGAGTGGTGCATCGCTCTCCCGATCCTATCGTGGACTGCTTCCAGCCATAAGTGCTGTGGATCTCGGGCGCCTCAACCAAAGATTGCAAAGCCCTCTGTGGAGAGGCGTTGATGTGCTGCCATTTGGATTTGTCCGCGAACATGGCGGGCACGGTAATCCTAAAAACCTGAAGCTGAATCTCGGTGGGTTTGTGGGTACTCTTGGATATTGGGCTCTGAGGCATAACGGGCAAGTCCTTCACCAGCGGCTGCACGTAGAGCTTTTGAAGCGAAGGAGCGCCTGAAGAATACACCGTGAAGGTCATCTGAGTCGCGCCTCCAGGGTCGTCTTGCGTCAAGATGGCCACCTTGCAGTTTATGCCGTGCAGAGCAGCGAGATCTCTACACTGCGTAGCAAAAAGTGTAGATCTGCAAAGTGAGGCCACCCCTGTCGGACATTTACCTTGCTCAAGGGTTTTGCGAAGATCAGCATCCTCAAGGACGTTGTATGGCTTCCAAGCAGCTTGATGCAATGCCAATTTTGACTTCGGCTTTTTGCTGACCACCTGTGTCCAAGTGTCGCCCTCGTCGTTCTTGGACTCGGTGATTTCGTGCTTGCCCTTGCCCTTGCCCTTGCTCTTACTCTTATCGTCATGCTTGTCATCCTTCCCTGTACTATGCTTCCCTGCACCTTTCCCTCCGCCTTTGTCTGAAACAACAACTGTCTGACGAGGAGGTGGCTTGTCCATGCAGAGTTTCCCCGCCTTGGCAGCATTGACAATAGAAGTGATTGACTGTATCAGCTTGTCATGAGGCTTCCGACTTCCGACTGTAGCGATCAAGGGATTGCTGTAGCGCCTCGCAAAAAGTCTTTTGATGTTTGTCCTTGGATCTCGGGCCTTTTTGGCCAGCACTGCGGTCCACACAGAATTTGACCAGGACCTCGGTGATGGCCTTGAACAGGAGGTCACTCTGAGGATCGTCCCCACTGTGGTCCTTGCCTTTTCCTCCACCACGAAGGTCAAAACCATCGCAGTCGTCATGTACATGCTGGATGCCCCTCGCATTCTCCGAAAAATTCCCAAACGGAACCAGTCCAGCTAACGCGCGCTTTACAAGGACACGCCTTAGACGTCTGAGCCGTCGCTTGCGCCGGAACCTTGGTTGGTGATACCATCGTCGCCATCGGCAGTGACGAACACGCATCCGGCCAACTTTTCTGCAGATCATAATCTCGAATTTTTTGCCCTTCTTCTTGAAACCATTCTTTCGATTCTGCAGAGCACTTTTCGCTGCACTGTTAAGGAAAAGCAGTGCACCCACCCCAGCCGAGGACACCGCCAAAGAGCTCGTCCAGGAGGCAGTACTGAAGGGGCCCCACATCGTCATGACGACGAAACCAAACAGGAAGCTCCAAACCAAAGTTTTCAGGCGTGTTGCCAACATGGTCACCTGCTCAAGGCCCTTTCCAGCGCTGTGTCATACGTGGAGGAAAGTTGTGCGAACGCAGCTTTGCACGCTCACGCAGTGGCGCATCACCGGTTGCTGCAAAACGTCCGAGGCTGCTGTGAACCGGATGAACAGTGTGCAGGACTAATTCAGGAACGACAGAAACCGCTCATCAAAAAATAATGAATCCCCGAGTGCATCTTTGCAACTGCTTACAAATCGGTGGCGAAGTCTGTGATTTGATTTCTTCGACGTTTCTCTCTCATGTGATGTTTTTAGCGCTCGCACTCGAGAAACCCAGGCGAGGTTTGAAACGTTACTGTCAATCCCATCTGAGAGGTTGTTTGGACAGGCGCGTTGGCCTGAGTTCAAAGGCTCCCCAACTTCACCACGGCAAACAATTACAGTCGTTCACCACCATCAGCATTCACACGGGCTGCGCTCAGCCTCCGGTCCGTCCCATTCACTAGTTATCAGTTTCTTCAGCAATGCATCGTGATCCTGCGAAGACCGGCCGATTATTTTCGATCGACCTGCAGACTGAAAGCACAGGAAAATCGAAGGGCGTGTGGGGGGGGAAAAACAACGAAGATCCCGCAGGAGTGGCCATGCTTTTGAACCAAATGAAGAAGTGGAGAAAATTCACATGATCAAACCCTATCACTCCTATCCCTCCCAAACATGAGCCGCCTTCCTGCTCTGACCCTTTGCTTTATTCGATGTCTTCGCACATCTGTCGCTATGTCGCACTGCGCTGTCGATGTGCACCACCGGTGAAATCTTAACCTTATGATCTTGTGACTGTTTCCCCGACTGTCTCAATGAACGGGCATGGCCGCTGTCTTCGGGGATCGCGATGTGCCAATAGTGGGGAACAAGGCCGGAATCGTTGTCGCAGTCTTCGAGGTCCTGGTAGTTCTCACACATCTTGCCTCCCAGAATGCCTCGCTGGTGGATAAGAAAGTCGGGGTGGGTTGGAGTCATCATTCTGACCGGTAGATTCCTCCAGTCACCCATCTGATCGCGGTTGCTCGCTAGGAGGTCGTACGGAGCAAAAAACAAACTGCGGAATGCACAATCGAACAGCTTGCACTGGAACTTTTAGTCCTGCTTATGCGAAATGAATCGAAATATTCGTCGGCCCTCTGTCTTCGTGAGCTTGTCGAGTTCTCCATCACTATTTCCAGAGATTCAAGCTATCCTTCGTCAACGTTTGAACCGTGAGTTGGCGGAACCATAAGGATCGAAGTTCTTCATGCGAAGCACATGGGTACGAGGCTCCGTTCCGAAACGTGTGCTTCTCAGTAGCCACACGAGGAGATAACTGTGAGTGCCTTGTAATTAGCGGCACGGGCTTTTGATTCGACGTCCTTCTTCGGCAACCGGGTCGATGACAATTTGACGTTGATGCGATGCACTGGCTTGCTCTCGGAGCTCACCAACCGATCGGTTCTCATCTGCATCGATGTGTTCGATCTCCATGAGCCTTGCCGAAGATGGTCCAGCCATGTCACAGAGCAAACGACGGGCTCCAAGATCGAGAGCGCAGAATAATAGCACAAAAAGAAGAGAACAGCAAGCGCGCGCAAAACTGCAAAAGCAGCCGCAACACCGCGGTTGAGGAGGTTCTAGTGGTCCTGGTCGTCATAGTGGTATGGTCGTTTTGGTAATCGTATTGGCAGCAGCAGCGGCGGCAGCAGCAGCAGCAGTAGTAGCGACAGCCGTAACACTCAAAATAGCGCAACACTAGCAGTAGCAGCAGCATTATAGCAGCGGCAGCAGCAGTAGCAGCTTGACCTGCCGCGACATGCCAAACCAGGTGCTCAGCTGTGGCAACCACTGCTCGAGACCGGCAGCCGAGAAACTTGCTAGAGTCTGAAGAGCTTCGCTTTCTTCCCATGGCAACGCCAAAACGTCGGGCAAGGTGTTTGCCGGCTAAACTCATCGATTTACACTGTGTTAAGCGCTGAGTTCTGTACGACCAGGAACATTGAACGGAACTACTACTGTGTACGCCTTGCTCCGCAATCTGCGCCAATCCAGCTGAGAGCTGAGGCAAGGCGCACATCCAGTCTGAGAGGCGAACCCTGCAGCATCAACAATGCTGCAATGACGGTGCAGCAATACTAGTTGCTACTTTGTGTTGTTAGTGATGACAGGCTTTGTTGTATAACTGGTGCTTTTGTGCTATTACTGGGAAGGCTTTGGAAGCGAAGGTTCGAGAGTAAGGCCAGAGCAGCCATGGAGTTTCCAAGGAGAAGATGACCTGAAACGACCTTTGGCGAACAAGCGGTGTTTCGGATCTGTTCGAGGGCTTTCAGGTTTTGTGGAAAATTTTTTGCAGAAGAAGAATGCAGCCTCGAACGTCGAGGATCCGTGCAAAAGGCAATTCTTTCGCAGCCCTGCGGCGGAACAGACGGAGGGGGGCCGGACTGAGGGTCCTAAGACACTTCGGCTCGCAGTTGCCATCGGCAATCGAGTTGACCTCGGCCTCGGCATCGCATCAAGAATGCACTCAACAGCTTCGAGGAAGACCTGCGCCGGGCTGATGTCGTTGCCTGCTTCATCGATGATATCGGCATACTGGACATCCACAAAGGGAGGACCCGCTGAGTTGCGAAGATGCATCGGCGTTTTGGCGGACTATAAGCCAAACAGTGCATCGAAGCTTTCGGCCGCATGGCCATGCGTTTGAACGACATGAAGCGGATAGCACGGACATGATCATACACACAGTGCCCCGACTAATGCATGATGCTCGCACGATAAGTGGATCCCATACCTCGTCCGTCCGCCTGGGCCGCAATGGCTAATGGCGTGCGTACTCGGATGCCCTGCACGTATATTATATTAGCGCTTCGGACCCTACCAAACCAGCCATGCTCGAAGCAACTGAAATCCCATCAGTCGAAAATCACGACTCGGCTTCGTTGCGACTTCGAGCAGACGTGTCCTACACCTTTACACCTCTACACTACATACAGGTACCTCAAAAACAACTGTTTTTAGATCAAATGCTTCGGGTGCAACGTGCCCAGAACCGATCTACAGTGATAAGAAGAAAAGCAAGGCTACAGGAACCGTACCTGAAAAAGATTAACTTAGAAACTTGTTGCAATAGCTACCGCCTAACTATGGTACGAGACTTGCTGTTTGGACCCATCTGGCCAGCTTCTGCAACTCCTTCAAAGAGCGGGTCTTCCTCAAGAACTGCATGAGGCGAATAATTCTTGCCAGACGAAGCGGGCGCAACATGTTGATGTTGATCCTGGCAAACAATCGAACGCTTCAATCGCAGGGCTTGCATGCCTGGGGTGCGCTGTCTGCCAGGCAAGCAGCAGGGTGTTCACAAGACTATTCGGGCGGATGCCACTACATATTTCACCATTGCCTCCCACTAAGAACGTTCGCACGCCAGCGCATGCGTTCAAAATGTTGACAACTCCTGGGACTGGTGCGATTCAGGCAGCCTTGGAGGCGGTGCCAAGCATTGTGCGGCTGGAACTTTCCCGATTTGGATAGCTCACATCGAAGATCGTGCCTTCTGTACAGTGCCATCGAGCGCATGAGATGCACTCAGATCATCTACATCTACATCCTTTTACAGACTGGGATGCTTGCTGTAGCCTCTAGTCCCGCAGCATGTGGGTGAAAGTCTGGTGGTGGGTCCCTGGGCCTGTGAGAGGAGTGTCCGCTTTCGCTTGTGATGCCCAAGCCAGCACATCCGTGCCTTGGAGACCCTGTCGACAGACTCAACGATTGCTAGGCTTATATGCTTTTTAGATTTCAGATGGTCATCATCTCCTTTAGCCACCCGTCGCTCTCGCATGACAAGCGTGTTTCATGCATGCCTGGATGCGATACAGAAAGATCTCCGAAACCGAAACAATGTCCTCGACGTCAACGCATCCCCTGCGCTGGTCAACACCCACTCGGCATATCCACACGCAATAATGACCTGACGGACATTCCAATCTATCAGTGCAGTGCAAGTGGAAAGAGGTATCGGTATTGGATTCGTCCGAGGATCCATGTCGAGCAAAACCATCCAATCTTTCAGTATGCGGCGCCCTCGAACGAAAAACAGTAGGGGCAGCTCAGCTGTGTAGAGCAGGAGGCATATATCGGAGCATGCGCGCACAAATGCCGAAGGCTCTTGTCCGGCAGCCCTGGCATCAATATCATTTGCCGTCAGGTACGCATCGAAAAGAACCACCAGAGCAAGACTGTTTGTGTTGTAGTTGTTGTCGACAATGTACTTCGCCCAGCGCCGGGCCTTTCCACGCCAAGAGCTCCCAAGTTCGTGCTGCGGTTCCTTTGGAGAAGCAGTGATGAAATCGCCTCCCATGCTCTGCTGTCTCCTTCGCAGCCTCCTGTTTGAGAATTCGTCGGAAACGCTTTGTGCAGTCGGAGAGTGCGCCGCTAGATAGCTGGAGCTCTTGCTTTCGCAACCTTCAGCGATGGCTGCGAGCTCCTCTACAGACGCTGCGAGTTCTTGTGAGGATCCCTTGAAAACTAGTAACTATAAAGTAAGAGTCAGAAGATGCCAAGAAGCAACGATCTTTGTGCTGCTCCTGGCACCTTTTATGCATGCCCAGGGCCTAGTGCACCTTTGATTCGGGGCTTAACTCTTGTGTTTGGTGTCCCCTTTAGAAGCTGTTCCGTGCGGAAGTTGAAGCAGGCGTTGTAAATCCGGCATCCCTCCGCATGTCAACGCAGATCCCCAAACCCAGAGCCTGCAAAGCCGACCACCATAAACCGAAAGCCACAGCCTGAAACCCGCCACGAGAGCACTGGCACGCCCCAAAGATTTGACAGAGACTCCATACCTCAGGTTGTAAGGGATGCCAGAAGGCTTCCCAAAACCGGGAAGAGAACATGTGCAAAGCAAGCGCGACCAGCAGCGCAAAGAAAAACAAACAGGAACACAACCAAACAGCCAGAAGCCGGCTGCGCGAAAAGCAGAAAAACAAAAACAAAAGCAGGGGCCCTCGGGGACTCGAAACGAGAAGAAGCAAACAAAAGGCAGTTGCATGGAAACGCGCGCGTTGCCTCCAGAGGCCGAGCATACATGCCAAGCTTGCTTCAGTCCGCAAAAACTCCATAGCAAAGCGAGTGGCCAATAATGGTCCAACGCAAAACAAGTCGCTCAAACTCAGCAGTGCAGCATGACTGCCACTGTGGCCTGTGAGCTTTTCAGTGTAGCAAACTACTGTGGCAGCCGATGCAAAACGGTAGCGCATCCTGCTAATCTTAGTTATTAGTTCGCTCTAATAGCTCTCATGGCCCAACTTCTGCCAAATGCTCCTGCTTCTGCGATTTTGCATCAATGCGAAGCCGCTCCAGCCGCTCGGGCAAGTCACCATCGAGGGAGTTCGAGCTCTGCATCTCGGGTTCTCGTGCCATGGGAGCCATGGCATGCAGGCACAAAAGGAGCCCTCGCGGCTGCGGTACAGCCTACATCCTCACAGCCTCCTCACTCCGAACATGGGCACTGCTTGCAGCTTGCCGGTGAATCGCCGCCCAGTTGCTCAACCTCTCGTGGAGCTTGCTGGCGTGCATCCTCCTGAGAAAGCGCTCAAGGGGGGATGGTCAAAGTCGGATCTTCGCAAAACAAACAGCCCGCCAAGAACCTTCCGGGCCGCTCCAGCCTCAATCGTAAACGCAAACATTCCCCTCCGAGCCACGTCTCACCATGACTCATGACTTCGATTCAAGCACGAATGAATTACATGAGGCGTTACCCCCCAAACCTTCACCGAAGCTCCTGGCTGCTGGCATCCATATCAGTCAACCCCAAATCCTGCAGGCTCGGAGCTGTCAAGGACAAGTGCACACACACACACACACCCCTCATCTGATGTGAACAACATATTTGGGTAGTTTTTGGGCGGCCCTATGCAACTCGCTCAGCAACGACTCCGCAAGAACTCAGGTCTGTGAGAGAACTACGTAGGAGTGTGCTTCAAGGAGTGTCTTGCACGTTGGCAACCTCACTAGCGTACTCCAAAAATGGCGGTCTACAGCTGTTCTGTGAGCTTGTAGATAGGAGTATGGGAAGGTAGGGCTGTGAGAGGCTGGGGGTCTAGAGGACTTTAAAAGCCAGTGCCAGAGTAACTTGGTGCACTGTTCCGTCCAGTGGACCCTGCGCCTGCCTGGCCTAAGGCCTGCTCCTACCGTTCCCCCTCTGTACTGAAAAGACCTAGTAAAACAGCAGTTCCGTTCTATACTGTTCGGATTGGATCGAAGAGTGTACCCGAAAAGCTTCAGCTGTGCTTTGTGGATGTGGTGTGTGAGGGGGGGCTGTGAAGTGAGTGCTCTCACTTCTTGGTTGGTGTATGTACGTGCTGTGGGGTTGAGAACTTCGGTGTAGTAGGTGCTTTGGACGTGTAGGATTTTGCGTAGTGACTGTGAGTGGAAGGCTTCAAGCCTGTGGTAGTCTCCGGCTGTGAGCGCAGCAGATTCCAAACCGTACGTCACCAGTGGAATGAAAACTGCGTTGTAGATTCTGAGCTTGCACTTCAGTGTGGGATCCGTGTTGCGACAAAATTGGTGCAGTGAGTGGAAGTGTTTGCGGGCTTTGGCAAGCCTGGTGGTGACATCTTTGTGAGAAGAGCCGTTGTTGCTCAACATGACGCCAAGGTATTTGGCATGTTGTTCTATGGTGAGGGGGGTGCCGTCTGTAAAGTGGATGGTGTTCTGTGAGGTGGGAGAGCGTAACAAGAATCACTTTTTGAGGTTGAGGTGTAGGTTGCTGTGAGCTGCAACGCGCTGCAGTGTGTGGAGGAGCTGCTGTGCTCGTGCCCGCCAGAAGTGCTGTGTCGGCGGCGTAAGCAAGGTCGTAAAATGGCTGGTTTTGGCTGTAGAGCCACGGGAAAAATTCTCCGTTGGCTGTGAGCTCTTGGTCGACATCGTGCATCACCATGCCGTGCACTATGAGAAAGAGGTACGGTGACAGGGGACATCCCTGTCGGATTCCCGAGCTAGCTTCCTCTTCCGTGCTTTGCTTGCCTGCTGCTGCTACCTTGCTTGAACTGTGGTGATGTGCCGTAGCGGGTAAGCGCTGTGAGGAGGGCGTCTGGGTGGTTTTTGTCGAAGGCCTTCTCCCAGTCTAGAAGGATGGTGTAGAGTGATTGTCCTGTGGCTTCGGCTCTTTCGATCAGTCTGCGGATGATGTGGATGGGCTGTGAGGTAGAGCGTGTTGCTCTGAACCCGTACTGGGTTTCACGCAGCCTATCATCCAATGCCGCCTGGAGTCTGGTGTGGATGATCTTTGCGAAGAGCTTGTATGAGGTGTTGAGGAGTGAGATGGGTCTGTAGCTGGCTGGGTCTGTGAGTGGTCCTTTGCCTTTGTAGATCTCGACCACTATTGCTCTGTGCCAGTCTTCAAGGATGCTGGCTGCGAGAGGCGACGGTTGAGGACCCGCAAGAGCGCCCCCATGTTGTGACCGTCCAGCCATTGCCAGGCTTCGGCTGGGAGCTGGTCGGGGCCTGGTGCTTTGTTGTGTGCAAGCTCCTTGAGCGCTGTGTTAAGCCCTGCCTTGGTGATGGGTGTGAGGTCGACTGCAGCTGGTGGGTGGAATGGGTCGGTGGGGCCAGCATAAGGTGTAGGGCCGTGTAGGGGGTGCTGCCAATGCGAGTCCCGCAGGTATTCTGCGAAGGTTTGGGCTTGTTGTGAGAGGCTGGTGGGCTTGCCCTGTGAGTCTCGTACTGAGACCGGCCTGGGCTTGTAGTCCGAGCGAATCCTTTTAATCCATCGCCATTTTTGGCGTGGATCCAGGGTGGCCTCGCTTTCGGCCAGTCGCTCCTTCAGCCATTGTGTTTTGTCCTTGCGTGCTTGTTTGCGGATGTCTTCGTGGAGCTGTGCCTCAAGGTCCGTTCTCTGTGAGAGACGTGCGGCCGACCTTTGCTATATGAGCTGCCAAGTTGCCTGTGTGATCCACGGGTGCTTGGGAAAAGAGGAGGTGGACGTGCTCGAGATGGCCTCGGAGGCCGCCGTGCTGAGGCTGTTCCATTGTGTGTGGGGTTGTGGGGGAAGTGGAAGCTGTGCTGGTGGCTGTGAGTAAATGTCATCAGGGGTGGTGTTGTCGAGCTGCTGCTTGATGTGTTGGTTGTACTGTTGCCGCTGCTCTTCCGTGGGTTTTCTGGTGTGTCTTGGTTTGGGTGGAGTGCGCTTGGTCTCCTTGGTTCGAAGCTGCAGCTCAACTTTGACCAGGAAGTGGTTGCTGTTTGAGGGTGTGGATGTTGTGGATAATGTTGCGCCACTCCTTTTGGATGATGGCGTGGTCGAGCTGGACCAGGTCGCCGTTGGGGCGCTTGTGGGTGTATCTGTTCTGTGGGGCCTTCTGTAGCCAGCTCTGTGGGAGACAGTAGTCCTGTGAGGCAAGGAGGTCATGGAATTGACGTTGGTTGGTGTCACCTTCCTCTTCGTCTGCTGGTTCATCCTCTTCGGCAGTCTTGCCGGGGATGAAGTGGGGGCCGGTGTCGTGGGGGAGGGCAGCGATCTCGTCGAGGGCGAGTGCATTGAAGTCACCCACAACCAAGAGATCTCTGTGAGCCGAGATCCTTGTGGTGAGGGCTTGCCAAAACTGGTCTCGGCATTGTTGCTCTCTTTGGTTGTGGGGGGCATAGACTGCCAGGATGCTGAGTGGAGCTTCCACTGTGTCTATGGTAAAGCTAAGCAAGCGGCCGTCGATGCAAGTGAGGTCTGTGATTGTTGGTGTGAGGTGTGGTGCTGTGATCAGCGACACCCCTGTGTAGGTTTGTGTGGGGTTGCTTTTGCTGTCGTATTCCTCGGTGGCGCTGTGAGTGATGGTGTACCGTCGATCATAAATTGATCGGGTTGTTTCATGTGGGTCTCTGTGAGCACCAACCAGCTGAAGCGGTGCTTTTTCATGATGTCGATCAAGGTGTGCAGCTTGGCTGCTTCGAGGAGCCCTGTTGCATTCCAGAACGCCCCTCTGAGGAGTGGGGGGGGGGGTGGTTTGCAGATCGTGTTTGGTTCTGCCCTTCTTGCCACATTTGGGTATGGGACAGTCAAGACAATGCAGCACATGTGACCCCATGCTACTCCTGGTAGGGCTTGGCGGTTGTCGCGACTGTCGGCAGGCCCTGCGATTCGGGCTGCGGCGAAGTCCTTGCCAAGGGCACACCCAAGCTCAGCACCAAGTCTTCTTGAGGAGTTGGTCCTGGGTGCATCGCTCAAAGGTCCATAATGATAGATCGCGTAGAAACCTGGGCTCAGGAAGCTCACAAAGGTGATTTGAGAGCGTAATGGACATGTCCAGATTGTCGCAGTGGTGCAGAAGGCGGCCGGCAAGGAGACGGAGGTCAGAAAATTCCAAGACCAACCACGATGCTTTCTTCGCATAGCATGTACACTCGGGCGTCATAAACAATACCTCGGTAGAGCAGCCTGTAGTGTCTACACGACCCCACGTCAAAAGCCATACAACCGCTCTCTTCTGCCGGGCTTTGACTGCCCAAGCGATTCACTATACTCGAGAGCTGTCCGCCTGAGAGCTGCACACGACATCTGTCAGCATTTTGGTGACGATAATGCCAAATCAGGTCTGTTACAGTTGCAGCGCAACCCGTTCAAGACTTGAACCCGCACAGTCACGAGTCACTCAGCAACTGAACCCTAGTCTGTACTGAGTTTCGACTGATTTGCACCTAGTTCTCATCCCTTCCGGAAAGCTGGAGCCAGGAGCATGCCGTGCCAGAGGCAGAACCTTCTGCCGAAAGCTCCCAGAGAGACTACAAAGAAACACGCCGTCTCTGGCCGAAGTTGGCCGGACCTTTCATTTCGCGACTTACTGAGCGTCCATTTTCCTCGATGGCCACCACACTCGTCTGTAGCAGCCCCAACTGACCATGGTCAGCAGAGCACGCTCGAGCGAAACCTTCTGCGAGAATCCTGCGAAGGTCCAAGCTGCTTCTACTTAGTAGAAGTGCAGAGAATGAATTTGACAGGGATACTGCGGCACCTGCGACGTTCTTGAACCGTTGTTCACGCTATAGTCAGCAAGGCAAGGGTTGAAGCGCAACTATGTATGAAGGCTCTGGAATTGCACACTGCCTCAGATTGCCGCCGCTCACTCGAGAACCGAGGTAGGCAAGTACATGCTTTGCCGTGACTCTCCGAGTGTGTCGCTCTGGACAGGAAGTGCTTGACGGAGGGAATGCTCGATACGGGTATCGCAAATGACGTCGACTTGTAAGGCCTTCTTAGACTTAGGCCGCATGAACTTCCCACAGAGATCCTCTCAATGTCTGAGTTGCGACGGAGTTGAATTTCTTGCCGCTTTCTGGTTCTATCGTCTCAGTACAATTCAATACAGAGCTCGCGGGGATCGCCCTGGGCAATCTGGGGTAGGAACATTCACCGTCAGGCCTCGAAAAGACTCGATGAGTTGAGCCTAAAGCTTGGGGCTTGCAGCCTTTGGCTTTGCAATGCCAAGCCTGGGTGGTCCTGCCGAAGCTGCTGCAGCAATGTCTCTGGAATCTCAATATCAAGTTTGAGGTTTCGAGACCCCACGCAGCAGGAGGCTCTAGTGTTGGAAGAAGCGCAAAGTGAGAGAAACAGCACGCTGCAGCGGCTCGGCATCCTTTGTAAGACCATGTGCAGCTAGCGTTGCTGTTGAACACCATGGCACACCTGCTGCTGGCTGTTACGACAAAGTCTTCCCCCCATGTTCGCTTCAGACATATTGCCACCAAACACCTGGGACCAACGTCGCTGTTCATGTCTCCGCAATTTGCGTGTGTCACATACCACACCATGGTTTCTATCGTCAACTTCCGCGCCTGATCCATGCGAAGCAAATGACGGGCAGCGTTTTGGAACAACGTCGGCAGAAAATGCAATCGAGCAGGATGCTTCCACCAGTCGATCCAAGCCCACACCGTCGATGCTGTTATCTAGTGGGACCTGGACATCATCAGGCAACTGCAGAAGCAGAAGTAGCACATGACTCGGGAATGGATAAGTTCGTCAGACAGGACGGCTCAAGAACATCCAGGATGTGACAACGACTGTCCTTTGGACCGAGGCACTCGGTATGCTGTTCGGTGGTGCCGGAGGTGCTGGCACTACAGCACCTGTCGAGACATCACACGTGTAGGCAGCAAGTGCCAGAACACGATTGCACTTGACAAACGACGTCGCCATGACGCTTTGACTAAGCATCTCCGAGGATGACATGCGGGAACGAGACTGAGGTTGATGCATATGGAGGCATTTCGATTCGTCTTCGCTACCACCGGCGGCGGCGGCGCTTCTCCCTGACAGGCGCTGCACATGAATGGAGTGCCAATCCGTGAAACGAGAGCCGAGGAACCGGACGACATCGGCATAACATGCATTCAAGCCCACGACGGCTACAGTCTACAGTTCAATATGGTCGTGCGCCGACAGGCGCTGATAAATCCACGAATCCACGAATGCTTGTGGAAACCGCAGTGCAGCCCCCGGCCGACCTCGGAATCATCGCCAAGTCCTGATTCACTGTCGGAGTCGGAAGCCGCTTCCTTAAGCATGCAAAGGCAATAGCTGCAGGTGAGGTCTGCAGTGCGTGTGCCTCCTGCCGCTGCAGCTGCATCCGGTCCACCAGCGCCTCCGAGAAACTCGTCACTGGAATCTACAAATGCTGTCGTTGGCTGTTCGGCCGGTTTGGTCGGCGGCATGGGTTGCCAGGTCAGTGTTCTTAGTTTCTGGTCGGCCAATCTTCTGCATGAATTCCTGTTGGGTGTGTCGGTCGATGTTCCCTGCCAGTTGAAGCAGGAAACGACAGGCACTCGAGGCGGCAACAAACTAAAACAAAGCAGTGGTAGATAGCAGTGTCAGTGCAAGGCAAGGAACGGCAGTGCAGGCAGTGCAGTGCAGGCAGTGTAGGCAGGGCAGAACAAGGGAACAAAAGCAGGCAAGGGAAAGGCAGTGCAGGGATCGACAGAGGTAAGGAAATGCAGGTGAACAGAGGAAACCAGTCTAAAGACAGGGACACTAGCAATCGCACTTAGGACAAAAAGCACCAAGGTGAGCGGACGACAGAGAAAGAAGGCCGAGATGCAGGGAGCCCCGAGATCAACAGTTTCATCAAAGCCAGCGGTCAGGAACCCCCTTGAGCCGAGACTTGAGCCGTAGAAGAGTAGTAGTAGTAGTAGTAGTAGTAGTAGTAGTAGTAGTAGTAGTAGTAGTAGTAGTAGTAGTAGTAGTAGTAGAAGTCGTAGTCGTAGTAGTAGTAGTAGTAGTAGCAGTAGTAGTAGTAGTAGCAGTAGCAGTAGTAGTAGCAGTGGCAGTAGTAGTAGCAGTAGCAGTAGCAGTAGCAGTAGGAGTGGAAGTGGTAGTAGTGGTAGTAGTAGTAGTAGGAGTACGAGTAGTAGGACTTGTAGGAGTTTTTTGTCGCCCACATGGCACGCCAATGACAGCTCCGTGGGGACTTAAATGGTGACTAGTCACGACGAAACTCGGATACAGGGCTTCGTCGTGACTAGTAGGAGTAGGAGAAGCAGGAGCAGCAGTTGTGCCCGACTTGGCGCCTGCAGCTGTGGCGGCAGCTTTCCAGGGCCAGCGACTGCAGGTCCAGCATCGTCAACGTCCTAATGGCGAGGCTAGATCAGGTGAGAAGTGGCGACTCACAACTCGGTGTAAGAGTGCTGCGATGCTCGCCACAGAGAAACGGCGCAGCATGCCGTTGCTCGCCCGACGGAGTCTATCAAGGAACCTCAGGCGAGCGAGGGCAACACATCATCGTCGTCCCTCTCGCTGGGGACAGCCTGAACTGCTTCCCAGCCTTGTAAAGACGGGGCTCAGCGGCTCCGGCTGAATGCCTGGAAAGGCAGGGCGGCTACCACAGGTCAGAAACACCAAGCACAGCACCCGATTCTCAAGGCAAGGCAACCTCTGCTCCGTGGAAGAACCAAAACCCCTTTGTTGCAATCCTTCAAGACATCTGCACTCCTCATCGGGAGCCTAGAGAAATGCATGATGTGTGCCCACTTTCGCTTCGAGGCACTGCGGCCCATAATTTCTTCAGCACGGCTGAAGGCACTTGCAGCCCAGTGATGGGGTGACTCTTCCTGGATTGGAGATACCCCATGCACTTGCAGGCACCGTGGCATAGAGCAAGCCCGCTGAATCAGTCTTAAGTCTTAATTGAAGGAAGCGGCATCATCGGGGTCGCCCATCCAAACGTCTGAGAGAAGGCCGGGGTTCTCCGAGAAATACCTCCAAAACTTCCTTGCATATGTCGCCACCTCATCGCTCACGAATCGCACGAAAGCAAAGCTAAAGAAACGCATCCTTGAGCAGCAGATGGATGCATTCCAAGGTACCGTGGCCTCGTCTTTGAGAACATCCTGCTAAAAGCTGCTATCTGCATCCGTGCAACTGCCCAAAGATAAGTTTCTGGCGAAGCTGATGTGGAGGCGGGGATCGATCTACTTGAGGGGTCATACTGCATTCGATACGAAGACGTAGTCTGGCCATGATCCCAACCACGAAAACTGCTGTCCTGCACTTTGCCAACGTCCAAGCCCAGAAGCTCGCAATGCGTGAGGCTTTCAGCAGTCCCCACATGTATCCACTTTAACCACAAGGCAGCTTCAACCAACCAAAGCTGTTCAGCCTTGGTTCTGTACCTGGCGCTGACTCGGACGATAATTGACCCTGGCAGTCACATGCTCGCACTGTTATATTGATGCTCAGCCAAGGAGCTCCGGCTCATTTTCTTGCTTGTAATTCAAAGTACCAGTTTGGAGAAAGTACATGTGCTTGCCAGCCTCACCCGTGGTCAGCAGCTCCTCACGCTTGTTGCACCCGAACTCTCCGAAGCGTGTAACATGCACCGAACGTTTCACGAACATCAGATGGAAACCTGGAAAACCTGAATGGTTCCAGCAAGTTTGAACACAAAAACGTGTGAGCGCGCACAGCAGCTGCAATGCCAATATCAAAGCGATTCAGGTTTGCACGACATGACAGACGAAGTGTCAGCAAGAAGGATGGGGATCCGGGCAACATGAGGAGGCATCTGTCCTGCGACATCACCAAATATTTCTGGGAAACTCCATTGCCTCGGTCTCATGGCGGCACGAAAACACGAATCGTCATCATCATGGACTAGAACTATTTCAACAAGGTGCTGTAGATCTTCCTCGATTCCGAAGGCAGGCAGCTATGGCAGAAATTGAAGAATGGGTGTCTTCCTGAGCTGCGCCGAGCTGTCAGGCAAAAAACACTACAGGGAAGGACATAATGCAAATCTCGAATTAAATGCCTCCAAAGCCGAGCCAAGTCTCCCAAGGTTGGCGAGTAAATTTCACTCGTAAGTTCAAACCTTGGACAATGCATCGGTACTATTACTAGAAGGTTAATTACCCAGCTTGGGGCTAGCTTTCGGTATCTTTTGCCAGGAGATGAATCTGCATATTGAGGATTTGGCCCAGTCCCAGGGCAGGCTACGCGCGCACACGCTCGTTTCGGGCTCAGGGTGGGCCGGGATCTTTAGTGCTTAGGCTTTCGTCGGCTTGCTTCTGCACTTGCAGTGCAGCCCAAACGTTGAACTGCAGGGTTCAGGGTTCAGGGTTCGGTGTTTCGTGGTTAGGGTCACACCGGCACCCGAAAGCCAGCCAACCCAGGGTGTGAGAGAAGTGACCACTCAACGAAGCACACAGGAACACCCAGACCCTAACGCCGAATCCATGTCATTCGATAGAACGAAATGAACAACAACACACAGAGACCATGTCCAGCGAAGACCGTACACGATGTCACAGACAAGCTATGCTTCACAAGCTTGGGTGCAGACGCACGGACGAACTCTCTTTTTGTCCACTCTTCCCTTCCGGACGGTGGCGAACTAGGTCGCAAGCTCGCTGCGACCTCGAACTGTAAAGTTCCGAAACGAAAAGGCTTCACAGGAGGCGCAACGAACTAACCGGACTCTATACTTCCGGGTGGGAGAGGTGGGAAAAGCAAAACTACAAACTCGCTGGCGGTGGCTCGCCCTTTCCTCGGGCCTTCGTGCTGCACAGCACCGCGAACTAAGGCTAACTCGGAAAGTTCTCGCTACGCTTGTCACTACGAACACACGTGTTCTGCACGACAAGCTATGCTTCACAAGCTTGGGTGCAGACGCACGGACGAACTCTCTTTTTGTCCACTCTTCCCTTCCGGACGGTGGCGAACTAGGTCGCAAGCTCGCTGCGACCTCGAACTGTAAAGTTCCGAAACGAAAAGGCTTCACAGGAGGCGCAACGAACTAACCACCTCACGCGCACTGTGAAGCCACCCTCGTGCGCTTCAGCGAAGTTGAGTCGCGAGGAGCGCGACCACCTGAGCGAACTCGTCCTGGTACCTCCGGCAGTCGTCTCGGAAGTGTTCCAAGAGCGGCCAGACTTCCTTGAACGACACCTCGTAGAAGTCTCCGTTTGCGGCCTGAAGGTCGCCGAGATCTCCCCTGGAAATGCCATCGGAGATGTTCTCTTCGCTCGAGACTCTGTGAAAAGACACCGAAAGCGACCTAGAGGCGGCCCACACCCAAAAAGCTCCAATAATAGCCGAGAGTCGGAGGTCTTTCGAGTATCCTTTGTTGAGCGCGTGCTCGGCCGCTGTGTTGTCTATCCAACAACACACGTGCGTGTCGACCAGGTCACACACGACGGCCAGAGACACTAACTGTGCTAATGCCTCCAACCAAAATATGTACGCCCTGGATGCGGCCAGGCCGGCTAGCACGGAAGCCGGTACTTCTCCTCTGAAACCCAGAGGGCGGCGGCCAGGTAAGGCAACGATCGAGCCGAAGCCGTTCGTGGCGGAGCTAAGCTCCTGGAGCGGTGGAAGTTCCGACAGCCACTTGTTGGCAACACGGCGGACTCCGTGAACTGTCAGAAATGCATCAGCAAACAAATGTGCGACCGGCTTATTGCGCTCGTGTTGACTAATTGCGAACCGTCTGGGTTGTAGTCTAGGCAACAGGTTTCGAAGCTGGTGAAGCGACTGTGTCATCCTGGGAGTCAGGGAACTCGAGCCAGGAGAACCGCTGTGCTGCCGATGGTAAAGGGGCTGGAGCAGCATGCGCCCTACGTTATTGAAGACCCACGTGCAAGTAAAACACAGTTTGCCTGTGAGCTGCGAACACTCGGATGCTGACATACGACCACACGACAAGAAGTCACTGATTGTATCGATCAACTTGGCGACCCTGCGGCTCCCGGCGAGGCGAAAAGAGCCTCGGCTGTGATGGTCCATTCTATGCCCAGGAGAGTCTGCTCGAACCGAGGCTCCTTCGACTTCTCCTCCTTCATGCGAAAGCCCAACACCCTGTGGAATGCTTGGAACACCGCGAACCCTGACAGTGCCGTTCTGGAACGTTCGAGCGAGAAGAAATCGTCCACGTAGTGTGCCGCGAACATCAGGAGCAGTGTAATGGTCAGGAACGAGACCACATCCGCGACCCGAAGGTATGCCCACACTGATCCAACGGACCCGAAAGGAAGGGCATTGTGCGACCAGAGGCTCGGGGACACTCCTGGCATCACTAGGCCGCATTCCGTAGGCTCGCGAACCGGGAGCGACCTGTAGGCACCTTCGTGGTCGATGGCGCCCAAAAGCACTGGTTCGGCAAACGTCTCTGAACACTGAAAAACTCCGCCAACGACCGTAGGACCCCCAGGTACGGCGGGGTGTCAACGGCCGAAATCGTGCTGTTGTGCATCGACCGGAGCCAATCGTCTGCACGACGAACCTTGTCGTTTTGCACGACCGCAAAACCTCTTGCGACCTGGACAGAAGCTGGTTCCTGCCCGGTACCAAGGAGAGAGAGGGGAAGTGGGCCCTGTACGCGTCCCAACTCTCGTTCTTTCTCGAGTTCTGCGATCATAGCGTCATGATGCTCAGGCTGAGCGGAGGGTTGTCGCCAGGCGAGTGCCAGTTGTCTATTGGCGACCACGAAGTCTTGCTTGGCCAACGGCCGAGAGTACTTGGCGTCGTCGCGGTTCAACCAACCCGAACCCCGAACAACCGGGCCTAGTAACCGAAAACCCCAGAACAACTCTGTCAGGAGCTCGCTGCGACCTGGGAACTGGCAGAGGTCGAGGAGCCACGCCAACGGCAAGAGTTGGAACCTCAGTTGTGGGGAACCTTGCTTGTAAACCGCGGCCACGTGTGCCGGGAGAGCTTGGAGTGCTTCGTCCTGGTCCTCCTGGAGCTCGGCGACAAGGTCTTGGAGGTCTTGAAGGACTGATTGGCGAACCTGAACGACCTTGAGGCCTAACCTGGCTTGCACGTGGAAAGTCCAAGCTAAGCACGGGTTAAGAGGTGCTGGAAAAACGTCGGCGAACGTCAACTTCTGGGCCCACAGAAAGTGGGCTGCTGAGCCTGAGCCTGGTGGCCTGAGCTCGTCGGGCTGTGTCTCATTGGGGTCCCACTGAAGGGTGGACCGTCGCCACCAAGAGGCGACCCGCTGCAGCGGGCGGCTCCCGTCTGGATGCCACCGTATCTGGAAACACGGGTCTGGCACATTTGGGTACCACTCCTCCACGCGAACCGGGTGTGCGTCGATGACGCCGGCCTGGCAAAGAACCAAGAGAACCAGGAGTCGGGCGACTCCTGCGTGCCACGCATTTCCTAGGAGTCTGGCTCTGGCATGCGGCGAAACTGAAGCCGTGTAGCCGCTTGGAAGGAGCTGTAGCCACTCACGGGTTGCAGGGTCGGGTAGGTCTGTCTTGCCTGCGACCTGAACCAAGCATGCTTGCGAAACTGCCACGGAGGGTAGGAGCGGTTGGCTGCCTTCCAGCGCTCCAAGGTGCCTGGGCTTTCGGAGCGGCGTTTCTTCCCCGGGGGTTCGCGGCCCTGAGTGCTCTCGGCAGGTGTAGTCAAACAGGGAAACCTGATGCGACCCGATGATACGTCTTCACTAAAGGTGGCAAAAGGGCAAGACTGTGCGACCTGTCGGGGAAAGAGGGTGCTGTTAGGGATCATCTCCCAGTGTCGGTTCAGTCGTCGCCAGCGCGACTGACCCCCCAAAACCACCGGTGGCTCGCGGACGTTCTCCGGTGGGGGGGAGACCACGTTCGACCACCATAGTCTCGGGCGCGACACGATGCCCCAGTTTGCGGCATCGCATGCGAACGCTCTGCACTCTAAGGCCCTGTCGAGTTCCTGCTGCTGCGAGGCTGACATGTACACGTTTTCCACCAGGAACAGAACCCGAAAGCTAGAAGACTTAGCGAAATCCTTCAGCCACTCGGCGAACCGGACAAACTTGGAGCCTTTCTGACCTTGTGTACCTGGGGGATCACTCCGGATCCTGGAAAAATCGTGACAGGGCGGAGCAGCGAACAGCAAGACCACCGTGTCCTTGGGAACTGAAGCAGAGAGAGCGGCAAGTACCTCTTGGGGCTTGCGGCCGAACACATCGCCATGGTGTATCATCTCGGGGTGTTGAGAAGACGCGACCTTGATGGCCTCAGGGTCGAGCTCCCACGACCAAGAGAGGACGGGCCTGATGGCCCAGCTCTTTACTGCGTGTAGAGCTGTTGCTATCCCATCGAAGAAACTGAGAACTGCGACCGGGAATCGAGGTTGTTGTGAATGAGGTGGTGTGGAGCTGGTCGGTGCAAGATGAGTAGAGCCTGGCGGAGCCAGATGAGGCTGCGACGCCTGCATGGTTGGCGTGTGTTGCGGAGCCACGAGAGGCTGCGACGCTTGCTGTGTTAGGTGGATGGGCGGAGTCACGTGAGACTTCGACGCCTTTGTTGCAGTGTTAGGGGTGAGCACGACTGGCATGCGAGTTATTGTTGAGGAGTTGCCTGTACCTTTGCCAGAAGTGCGGCTTGCAGGGGGAGGAGCGGGTGGGAAAGGCGGTGTTGCGCGCGCGGCGGAGCTGACGGAAGCTCGAACGCCGGACCACTGTGTTGTCCACGGGCGGGACGTTGGATGACAGCGACCTGTTGCTGCGGGGCATGTACCTGGGTGCTAACACGACTCGGCACCTGCGGACCTAACCTGTTTCCAGGGATTACGGGGTCGGGCGCCAAAGGCGGAGCACGCGGGTTGGGGACTAGGGTCTTAGGGAAGGAAGGCAAGGGATTACCGTCATTGCTCATGGCGGGTGTCGCCCCCGACGGCTGAGGCGGTCCGAGCTGTCCCTAGGCGGACGGAGGCGGGGGAACGCTCCCCTGAGGGGTCGGCTGGCTTCCGTGTGCGAACTTGCAGCTGGCCCCAAACCTGCAGTACCCAGCAGCGAACAGGCGACACTGTTGGCGGGGCTGGCCGGACTGCTGCTGTCCCCATCCAGCAGACTGTGGGGCTTGTTGCTGCCAGTACGGGGAAGGGCGACCTGTCTTGCCTTTGCCGGTGCCCTTATCCCCTTTCTTTCCTTTCTCACCTCCTTTCTCATTGCCTTTGAAGGGACGGTCCGGAGGCACCCAGCGACTCATAGCGTCTTGTTTGGCCTGCGGGGAGGTTACCTCGGCGGCCGCCTGCGCGAACGTCTTCCCGGAGCGCAGGGCCATGGCCATTTCCCAGGACGCCTTCTTCCAGTAGAGGCGGATCTGGCCGAACTTTGACGGGTTGTCCCTCGTCAAGTCTTCCCAGAAGGCGAAGTAGTCTGCGACCTCCGGGTTCGGGCCCCAACGTGCGAACATGAACGCGAACTTGCAGGCCTCGAAAGCGTCCAACATAGTGACGAGTCTTTGAGGCTCTGGTAATTATCGTCTTTGCGACCTTGGAGAGGGTGCCGTCCTCTGACGCGAACAGCTTGGAGGTCTCCGGCTTTGTAGTAGACGAGAACGGGTTAACCTGCTTGGATGCTGTGAAATGGCGCGAAAAGAGAATCTCGCCGAGGGCCAGCGCGGTGTAGAGCCCTGATTTCTTCTCTGCGACCATGCGGCCCAAGGTCTTCTCGGATCCTACCAACAAGTGAGCCGGAAACTTGCGGTTCCTGCCGTCGACCACCGCGGTCTCGTACTCGGTCACGAAGTCGTTCCAGTAGCTGGCTGGCAACTCCTGGGACCTGTCCGACGAACTCGTCGACGTAGTAGAAGCTGCCGGTGCGGCCGGGGCTGCTGGGGAGGCTGCTGTTTTCGTCGCCGCTATCACGTCCAGCAGCTCAAGAACGGTGGCCTGGTCGATCAAGAGCTCGTCGGCCGACCGCTTCTTTGTGTCTCCTGCCAACTCGACGCCTGTTCTCAGCGGGTCCAAGAGGGCCTGGATCTTGGAGCGGTCCGAGAAGAGGTGGTGTATCACTCCTGGGACGTCGACCCCTCTGGCCTTGAAGAGTAAGCGAACCGTCGGGTGCACTGCGGCCTTGTCGCACAACTCGTCGAAGGTTGCCGTCGCCGCCATCGCAGCCGACCTAATCCGATGAATCTGACGATGAATCAGATCCCTCGGGGGCTGGTGCTTGAGGCTGCAGAATGTGAGCGAACGGGGTCTCTTCGGGAAAACACACTGGACAGTAGCGAAAACCTGGCAAAAGCGTAGGGTTCCTTTGGCAGCTCGCCTTCCCGTACTTCCAAAGGCCGCACGCGGACCGCCACTTGTCAGAGGGGGACGAACACTCACTAGCAAAAGGCTTGTGTGCCAGTTTGGAGCGAACATTATGTACAAGAACGCCCTGTCCTCGAAAACAATCGGCGACCACTGCCCTGACCTGGTCGAGAGCTGCCGGCAATAGCGCCAGCTGGCCTGATCTCGGGGCCTGCGAACCTGGGGGCAAAGCCGAAGTCCTAAGTGCAACTGCCTGTGATGCCCGGGAAGGGTTAGCCAGGGCAGCCTCCTGAACATAACGATAGATAGCAGCGCTTCCCCAACGGCCCAGCAGCATGATGACATGTAGGTCGAGGTCGGCCCGTGCGAACAGTTGCGCGCCAGCGACGCGGAAGGCGTGTTGGGCCCACCGCTGCAGAACTTGACGGGGCCATTCGTGGAGGTCGCCTGCACAAAGGACCCATGCGAACACGCGGGCCAGCCACACAACCTGGGCTTTGGTCGGTGGGCCCGAACCATCACCGAAAAAGGGTGACTTCGAGCTCCAGCGACCCTGCTTGCGGAGTCGGATCGAACATCGCAATGCTGCGTGATATGCACACAGTGGGTTCCTGCCAAGGGAACAGTCGCATTGCTGCAACGGCGTGAAGAGGAGGGCCTCGTCACCACTGCGGCCACATCCTGGGTCGTGTGTTCGCGAACAGATACAGGCGTGCGAACGGTGGCAACCTCTAGCCGTGGGGTCTGTCTTCGATATCGGGAGGTTGAGCCTAACGAGCCCTTCCCGAGAAAAGCTGACGTCCTCGCATAAGACAGAGGAAATCTCGAGTCCGCGAAGGAGAAACCACGCGGCCACAATACCTGTGTCTGAGGGGTATTCGATCCTGGCAGCCGACGGCACTTGCAGGCGTGCATAGGCTGCCTCGATGTCGCTGTCGAACTTCCTGGAGCAAGCTTCCAAGGGAAAATCAAGTTTAGCTGCCGAAGGTCCCATCCCTCGTGTGATCGACCGCACAGCTTGAGCAACAGCGTGATCCAGGGCCGGCGACCAGTCGTGCCCCTGCGAACGGTGTTCGCCCTTCGCCACACTATAGTACTGCGCGGCCGAACGGTACCTGGCTTGCTTGAAAAGAGCGCCAATCTTGTCGATAAGCTCGACCGTGACTGGAAGAGGGGGAAGGTTCCGTTGCTCTGCGAGAGAACACCAAAGTTTCCAACGAGATTCCCGCGGACCTCTGGAGGTTTTTGCGAACTTATCCTCCTGGAAAGCCGCGTCGGCCGAAGCCAAGGCACTCTCTGACTGTACTGAGGCAGCCAAGCTGCGCGACCCTCGTTGGTACGGGTGAACCACTGGGGCGTCTGCCCTGGACCTGGATCGGACCACCGAACGGTTGAAAAGCTTGTCGACCGCCTGGTCGCCGATCCACTGCCGTAGCTGTGTCTTGGGTGTATTTTCCAGGTCAGATGCGGACTTAACGCCGCGTGCTCGGAGAGGCTCGAGAGCAGAGTGAAGGTCCAAAGACCCCAGCACATGAACTAGGCTCGCGAACGAGGTTCTCTCGTGGGGGCATGTGACATGAAACATGACTGCTCGAGACGAGACTGCGGAGACAGCGCGGGTTTGCCACATTGAACCCCCCTGTACCGTAGAGTAGCCGAGCGACCTGACGAAAACGGCCGAGACTGACACGAGCGAGAGGAGGTAGGGGGGGGTACTGGGGGGAGCGAAACCGTAACAGCAAACTGCCTTCGACCTGTATAGACCTTCAAGGACACTCTGCAACACATGTACACCGGTAGGAAGAAGTGCACGACCTTAGCCTGGCAAGACCTTCCAGCACACTCGACCGTACACGACCTCAACCTGGCATGACCTTCCCGAACACTCGAACACTGCGCGCAGCGACCTGCCTGAACCTAGCACGACCTTCCAGTTGTACCGGCCTGAACCTTGCACGACCTGCCAGAACTAGCTAGAATGCAGCACTGCTCTTGCAATGTCACTCTGCGGCATGCGACCTAAGGTGGGGAGTGCGCGGCCTCACACTTTTGCTGCGAGCAGCACCGGTGACCCCGTAGGGTTGCGGCCCGTAGGCGCGAACTATGATACTTGCTGCAAAAACGCCCCGACCAACGGACCACACGGACTAAGAGGCCTAGAGGCTTCCAACGTGTAACGACCTAGCATGCTTCTGCGGACTGGTTCCGCGCACTCTGGGGCTGCGGCAGCTCGTAGCCGGGCGACCTTATGTACGCCTGGAGTCGAGACGCTTAGCGTTCTCGTGGCACTGCGAACACATGTGGTGTTCGTGCGGCTTTCTGTACCCTGCCCGGTTCCTCCGCGGACAGGCCCTCAGCCAGCAACTGGGGCAGCGCACCGAACACACCGACACTACGTCGGTATAGGGGGGGGTTCATCTCGGAACACCACCCCCGTCTCGACATCAGCTTGCGGCCACGGAGCAGGTAGGCCTCGAGGAGCGAACTGCGTGGCCATGATCGGGCCGGGCGGGCCGAACGACAGTGCGGCCTCAAGGTTCGGAGGGTCCACTGCCGGCCTGGGTGCCGGACGTCGACCTCGTTGAGTCTGCGAACCGCTCGGGAACGTAGAGGTAGGCGGAGGGGCGTCCTGGCTGCCATGTGCCTGCGGCCCATCTGTGTTGTTGCCCTGCGTGGGCTGCGAACTCGAAGCGGCCCCCACGCTGTCATCTGCGGCCGGCGCCGGCGCCGAACTTGGTGTCGTGGTCCCCGGTGTCGTAGTCGCTGTGGCCTTGGCGACCTGTGGCATGGCCTTCGTGGGCGGGGACTGCACCGGTGGCGGCATGGGCGGGTCGGCCAAGTCGTCGTCCATAGTGTTGAGGTCGACCACGGGGACCTCGGCGACCTTGGTGGCGGCGTCTGCGGCCTGCATCATGGCGATCGCGTCTTCGGCCGTCGCTGGCTGCACGTTGCCAGCGAACATCTGCTGCACCTGCGCCGGGGTTGCCTTCACCTGCACTGGCTTGGGCTGCGAACTCGACGAAGAAGAGCTCGGCTCCGTAGCTTTCGCAGGCGGCGACCCGGTCTTGGCGGCCGTTTTTCCCGTACCCTTTTTGCTCAAGGGCGGAGGGTTCGCCTTCAGGGGAGGTGGGTCCGCCTTCGCGAACTGCTTGGCCGCGACGGACATCGTCACTGGAACCACCAGCTGCGGCGGTGGGCCCGTTGTGGGACTCTTTGCACCCGGCGCACCTTTCTACTGCGACCCTTGCCCAGTCGGAGGTGCCACTGTCCCTGCAGAGGCGGAGGCCGAACTCGGAGGGGTAGATGCCAGACCGGGCGGTGCGACCTGTGGAGCTGCCCCCGACGTAGAGCTTGTGGCGGCATTCTCCGCCTCCGTCTGGGCCTCAACGAACTGTTTCTCCACTTGGTGTTCCACACACCGGTGGATCGTCCTTCGCAGTGCGACCAGATCGTCAAGGTCGACGCGGTCCAGGAGCGGCTCGAGCTCGCTATAGTCCGTATGCAGCACTGTGCAAAAGCTGCCCCAGACATCTGGCGGACTGTCGGAACCGCTTCCCCATGTGCCTGCCATCGCGACCAGCGGTAGGCTCCGAAAAGCAAAACTACAAACTCGCTGGCGGTGGCTCGCCCTTTCCTCGGGCCTTCGTGCTGCACAGCACCGCGAACTAAGGCTAACTCGGAAAGTTCTCGCTACGCTTGTCACTACGAACACACGTGTTCTGCACTGCAAGTACCGTAAAGCGGGTCCGTCGGTCCAGCGTCCCGGTGCTGAAAATGATTGCTCTCTCAACTAGCGACTGTCACGGTAAGGTGATGTATAAAGTTTGCTAGCGTGTCCACGACCCCAACCCCCACCCAACCCCACCCCATCAACCCACCCATGCACGCACGCAAGGATGCTGAGTTTGACAAGTACGTTCCGCTTGGAATGATCAAACAACAAACAAATCGACACGGTTGTTCTTGGTCATCGCGCTCATTCGGCTTCTACAGACAAGGAAGCTTCGTCCACGGAGTTCAGGTTCATGCCTAGTTTAGGACCTCCCAGGCGACATGAAGTAATTACGGAATGCCCCCTGGATTGGACAGAAGTCAAGGTACTTCAGGCTCAATGGCAGCTGCTGAAATATGCGAATCTCATCCACATGCACCCGGCGGCGTGATCGCTGCCTTGGCTGTTGCAAACGACTCAGACAAACGACGATGCAACCGATCCCAGAAGGCCACGATGTGATGTTTGCTTGTTGCTCCACTTTGCGCATTCCTCCGGCCCGGCCACAAAGCCTTCTGCAAGCAGTTGTGGATGCGGGCCGTCAGCGACGGGCTGACTTCATTTTCTTGAAGGTAGCGTCGCAGAAGGGATTCCTGCTCGTGGCGCCAACCTCAGGATCCAAACCTTGAGACCTAAGTAAGCACCCTGACACTTGCAAAAAGCTGTGCAGCCAAGCGGCTGTTGAGATTTCGCAGCTGGTTCATGGCACTGGTTATTGCAGACACAAAAGACGAGAAGATAAGCATACCACACAGGATCATGCACACAGTGAAGAAACGCTCGTACTCATTGGCAGGGACAACTTCCATGGACGCCGGCGTGAACCTCGATTGTTCAGCTCCAAGCAGAACCGACCAGCTCTACTACAACATACTACAACATCCTCACCACAGACTGAAACGACACCCGCGTTTATGCCGGAGAAGATCTGCGACATGGACCAATGAAGCGCTGTAGAATATCGGTACCATATGTTCTTGGCATCCTCAGCTTCTTCCGATATCGCGTCACGGTCCGCAACCCCTGACAGCTCAGCTCTGCCGAAGCGGACTTGATTGGAATGGCATTTCTGTGAATTTAAAGCCCTCCCAAAGCTCGACACAAGCTGCAATGTGCAGGCTCTCAGAGAGCTCAGGCGTCTTGGGCTCATACGGCACGCAAGGAATTTGCAAAGCACACGATGCGCAACTTATGCTAAGTAAGCTGCTAGGCTTGCTGTCAAGACTCCAAGCCGGTGGTCCGTAGCCATGTGTCCTCCCTGGTGAGATCCTTACCCAAAGAATGCCTTCACTTACACAAGCCCTGGGCTAGTATCCCAATTGCGTTTGCATCTGCTGAAACGTCGAGGCACATATGTGCCTATGGCATACCAAATGCATGCCACCAGATGGTTGATGAGGGCAATGAAAGCTATGAGCTTTGCAATACCGATCAAGATCAGTGAAGCTTCGGACCTGAGCTGCATTCCACGACAAGGAGGTGGGTAAAAGCGCGCGGAGAAGGTAGGGCCGGTAGGGTGTGCAATGCAAAGGAAAAATGGTAAAACACCAGGGAACTGCACACGTTCGACGAAGTCATTGATGCGGCTGCGTGCCTGACGAAGCTGAAACCCACTGCGGTGGAGCGAGGCGGCCGGCACGAATGGATTCGACCCTGCCTTCATCAGCCGAATAAGCCGGAAAAAGCGAAGCAAACGGATTGTCTTCGCCGTTCGGAAGAAAGCAACACCAGCATCGGCTCCTGAAGCAAGATACAACAGTACCAGGCACCGGCTGCGACCTCCATAGAAGCAGTTTCCTTGCGAAGTCATGCCACACGACAGGTGGCACTGTTGCCGCCTTAAGCCTTCAGGTCTCCAGCACACTTCGCGTCGAATAGCAAATAGTCAGAGTACAGAGAGAAGGTGGACTGCCGTATCTCTCGGCTAAGGCTTGCGCTCCGTGGCAACTTCAAAAGTCTTCGTGCAAGTGGCAGCACAGCGTAACAAGTCCGGAACTGCGCATTTGCACGTTCACCAGCGTGGCTATCGCCACAACTGTCGCACGATGTAGAAATCCTTTTTACCACAACTTCGCACACTTGCAAAGATGGAGGCTTCTGCGAGGCCTCCAATCCTTTACCAGGAAATACCCACACGAGCCCTGGAAACAAGAACCAAAGGCCAGCACGCTCGTGACCCAGTTGCACACAGCTTTCGTGCAAGAGCTCCGATTATGCCAAAGGTTTAAGTCTAGGTTTTGACGCTAGGCTTAGGCTTGTGCACGGGCCTGGCCTGAATCCGAATCGGCCGCGAAGGCAAGGCTCCAAATGTGTAGCGCCCAATCCAGGCCTTGCCAACGACAGAACGAGCTGCTGTGTCTAGCCGCACTGACACGGCCTACAGATATGACGTCAAGTCTTCGTGTTGCGCGGTAGCGACATTCCAGCTGGAGCCCGCAGCCTATGCCCATAAGCATGAAAGTGTGCTTGGAAGGCGAGATCGTACGACAAAGGATTCAACACCGTTGTGCCGGCCAAGCCACAGACAACAGCAAAGTCGAAAACAAACCATGTTCCTTACTCGATGACTGCGGCGTCGGAACTTCATGCAAAAGATTAGAACTATAAAGATTGGAACTATACAGATTTGAAAGTTCTTGCCATGGTTGACGAAGGCTCTTAAGTAGTTGGCGGCAATCTTCGGCACCTTCATTTCGACAGTTCCTTCCTTCAGGGAAGCATGGGACCCACACAATCGTCCTGGTTTTTGACTGATATCCGTGAGGACCGGACGGTGCGTCAGCCCAAAACTGCCCTGTGCTGCTTGAAAAATATCCCAGCACATACTGGCAACAAGACTACAATTACAAAACATCAAGCAGAACTCGAGATGTCTGGAATGTAGAAGCTCTCCTCCAAAAGCGGGTAGCCGACCAAGAAAGATAGAGGTATGTCCAGAAGCCAGTAGCAGCTTGAAACCCAGGCCATGGTTTCCATGAATAGGGTGCTTTCGGGCTGGAACGCTTCGATGGGAAGGAAGATCAGGTCGTAGCAGATCAAGAGAACACCTGACACTCCTATGACACGCAGCCGAAGGGACACTAACGCGTCCTTCTTTAGACCATTATCATTACCATCTACTGCTCTCGTGGGTGTCGTTGCCGCCAAAAAAAGGGGTTCAAATGTGCTCAGTCACTCTGTCCCAGAAGTGAGGCCAGGGTTCTAAGGCTCGCGGGCTGCAGTGCACATGCACCTATCATCTAACGATTGGCACGGACTCTTCGTCTGTTGCCCAGGAACCGAAGACATCATAGGACAACCGCTTGAGCGACGTTGGCGCCACGACCAGGCGCGACACACATCGACCGGGCCCCTCTTCAAAGAAATCCCTCGGATGCATGCATCTGCATGGCAACGGGCTGAGCAGTGGCAAGCTCACGGACAGCTGTGCTGCAAGCACCCGTGCACGCACTTCGAGCACCAAAAAATCTCCCCCGAATGCTCCACGAGGGCTCTGCTTAGAAAGGAAATCTGAATCTGCACGTGCGGGCATCTACAGTCCAATCATATTCGCATGTTATCCGGGAGGCTCGAGCGGTCTTGGTGATGCTGCTTGCAGGACATCAGGCCTTGCTTGCAGTGGGGTGGAAGGTACAGAAACATCGGCAGATACAGAGAATTCGCGGGTCTTTGGACGCGCACTGTCGAGGCTTTGCATCGCGGCCAATGCTGTAGACTGACACGCTCACATTCAAGCCACTCAACATGTCGCCCGGCCTGTTCCGTGTATGCCGAGAGCGAGAGGCCAATAGGTTCACCCGCGCTTTGCCCACGCGCCGGCCTGTGACAAAAAGCCAAGGCCGAAGATGCGCCCAAGCAGCTAACAACGGCTAACGATGCAAGAAACAGCTTTCACTTTCTTGTTCTCTGAACACCCGAGCAGTCGGACTCGGCAACTCGCTACATACGCGGAAATCCAACTTTCGAGCCTGCTTTCCAGACGTCGCACAACTCTGGGATGTTTGCATCTGCCCTAAGTTTCGCATGGTTCTCTGCGGCACAAAAGCAGCAATCCGCATCGGTGCTTTGCAAGCAGCGAATCACAAGCAAGACTCATGCTCCCTCGCGCGAGCATGGAAAAAGTCTCCCCTGCAGCCGAGCCGCTTTCCATCCTCATCTTCTCTGACTTTTAGGAGACTGCCTCTCTCTGCAGTTTTCTGGCTGCGCTGATGAGAATCTGGCGTGCCTCAGACTCAGCAATGCCATGTGCAAGTTGCCCTGGGTGCACTCAGACCATCTGCGTCTAAAGCACTTGACTGCCCAGATGATGCGTGCTCCATCACACCGGCATCACTTGCAGCCTTTGATCCGCCACGGGAACTGACCTGATCAACCAAGCTGAAAGCGACCAAAAGCGGTGTAAGCCGGCAGCTAGCTGTGTTGCTGCGGCTGCAGAGATCGTGTTCTGTCCACTTTCTCCTTCTCCGAGTGGCAGCAGGCGGGAACAGCTGGCCCTGCCCACCTGCACTACCTGCCAGAGTGGCTGCGAGAGACCTACGATGCCTGCAGACAGCATTTGCCTGCAGTTATTGGGAAAGCAACGTTGCCCCACTTTGTGCCTTGGACTTCGTCGTTCAATGACTCCATGCTTTCTACCTGCTTGCAGGAAATTTCTTGTTCGAAGCCTTACGGCAAAAACTGGCGCCTTGGCATCGATCACGAATCTGTCCATGGCATCCACAGATGTCTCCTGCGCAGCAATCAAAGACAAAATGCGCTGGGCCAAGCAATACGTACTTGCTTCACTGGCATCTACCCTGCGACCACATTAAGAAATGGAAACGACAGTTTGTTTTGCCGTCTCTCTCCGCACTTCCTGAAAGTCTGGCCGAATCTTGCATTTGGGGAGATCTGGCCTGACCCATGACCCCCAACCCAATGGGCATGAAGTATGCAGGAGATGCTGGAGCGGAGAACGGACACCTTTAACTCAAGGATAGAATTAGAACTTCCAAAAACGACATGATGGCACGGAACGCTCCAAGCACATGTTCAGCCCCGAGAGGTGCGATCAGGGAGGAGGCTTTCAACCCAGAGGCGATCTGCTGAAGCAACAATTCCACACCCTCCTCACAAGGCAGACAACACAGGCATGGTTATGGTGCTGGCGGCAGTGGTGGCGGCGGTGGCGGTGGGGTGAGGGGCTTGACCTCTCGCACATCAGTAACAAGAGCATCTTGAATCACTTCGGGCCTTCCGTCCCAGTTCGACAAGTTGCACCGGAATTGAACTCATCACGTGTGAGCTCAAGCGCAAGTACGAAAAACGGTGGCCGATCACAAGTTTTGGTCAGGAGGCCTTTTTGTCGCAACCCGGATCGATAAAATCCGAAGCTCTCCTCGCCGGCCCATGCTTGCCGACCATCATCTCCTGTCGGTCCTCTGTGCAACAGCATGCGGCCACGAGAAACCAATATGGCTGGCATGCATGCCACCAAGATTCCGGTACTTTTGACCCGGCCTCGCATCTTCGGGGCAGCATGGACCCTGACAGCAGCAGCTTTCAACAATTGCCGAATGTGTCACGGCCCTGATGGCCGTTGCGAGCCTTAGGGCATTCTGCGGGCTTCTCGAAGACGATGCGAGAATGCGAAGCTCCTCGATCTCGGCCTGGGGTTTGGAGTCAACAGGCCAATCGAGGTTACATGGTTTTGCCAATTAGGCACCTGGAGAGCGGCACTTTCTGCCAACACGTCGTCCTTCACTGCTTGTAGCTCTTGCTGGTGCGCCAGGCCCACCTCAGAGCACTTGGAGAGTTGCGAGGCTTTGGAAACCAACAACTCTGCACATGACAGCAAATGAATGGTGCTATGAAAGATGCCTGCACCAGGAGCTCCATAACTGTGCCGGGCTTGTCACTCCTGAGCCCATGTGGTCCAGATCTAGTCAGCGCTTGCAGATTCCATTCTGCTGAGTTGCGGCTGGGTGCGCTCCATGATGGATCAGATCTCCGTTGCACGGCTACAGCCCTGCTACTGCTTGTGGGACTTGCCTGGAACTCATGAATATTCGGTCGTTGCTGCTAGGCAAACGAACCAACTTGTTGTAATGCTCTTTGTCTTTGCACACTCTTCGGCAATGTCAGGGCACTTCTCTAGGGCTGGATAAATGCCAAAGGCAAAGTGGAGTTGTGGGGTTCTTGACTATCTTGGGGGAACCTACGCTACCCTTGTTGCCGTCGAGCATAAGAGTTTGGGCCACAGCAGGCATTGACGAAAGAAGATTTGCACAGACAACAATGGACGGAAAAAGTATTACAAAACTTCAGGTCAGAGCTGGAGCACACGAGGCAAACATGCATTGACAAAACGAATGCTCAGACATGTTCCCAAGACGCCTAACAGTTCCTTCGCCCGGATACTTCTGAAAGATGCTGCATGCCAATCATTACCGGCCTTGAAGCAAAAAACGATGCCAAAACGAAATGACAAAAACCTGTCCTCACCTTCGCAGCAGTGGCTCGGATCGACCCTATAATAACGAAGAGTGCCGCAAATTGCATCGTGCATCAACTGAGTCTGCGCGGCACAGGACATAAAGAGTCCCGCGTGTGAATAAGAGAGAGAGAGAGAGAGAGAGAGAGAGAGAGAGAGAGAGAGAGAAAAAAAAAGCGAGAGAGAGAGAGAGAGAGAAAGCTTCTGTTCTTCAGTTTAGTGAGGGGCCCCCCTAAGAAAAACAACAAAAGGGGTAACGGGATACGATTGGAGGACCTGGTCTAAAGCTATTATATACAGCCTCTAAAGATCAAATAAAGCAGCCCAGTGCAGGCAACGTCCACCAGTGTTTCATCTACGTCTGCTTCTGCTCTGTCTGTAGCGAATGTGGCACTTTCGTTCACCTGCGTGACAAATATTGGCACAACCATGACGCAGCATACGCACTTGAATGTAGGAGGCAACGGCTTCTTGGCATCGTGCTTGCGCAGCATTGTTTGCCAACTAGATGACGGGTGTGTCTATCCAAACGGGCACAAAACAGCAAAAGGTAGGTCTCGAAGGCGGGGTAGCTATATACATACATAGTTGTGTGTATATATATATATATGTAAACTTGTAAATAGATAAGTAAATGCGTGTACAAATATACTCACAGTCATAATACACGTATAGAAATCCATCAGTGTCCGTAGTCACATCCTGTTTACATCGCAGTCACTTAATGGACAGTTGCCGTCCATGTGCAAACATCCTCGACTCAGCCTCACTTGCCCGAATCCTGGAGGTCACGTCACCAGATGATGGGCAAAGCAAACGGAAGCAGACTTTGGCACGACATCCAAGCACAAAGTCGCAGTCCTGCTTGCGAACTTCCTCGAAGTACTGGTCTTGCATCGCCTGTCAGCAAGCAGAAGAAGTTTTGCACTAGCTGAGCGGTATTCAAGGAAGCTTCAATTTGTTCGTCGAGTTTTCTGGTCATGGGATATCCTTCCTGGCATTCACATGATGCAGCCCCGAAGTTCTGTGCCTAGCTCCACGCCCTGCATCGCCGAAACAAACCGAAACAAGGAAAGCTCTTCTTTTTTCGCTCTTTACCACCCGCTTTTGTGCTTATCTATTGAGGCTGCCGCAGCGCTCAGCTTGTTGACGTTGGCTTACAATGCTTGACAAACCTGCTCTGCAGCAAGCAGGAGAAGCCGTAACAAGCTGCCCCCGCAGGTGAACCTGGAAGGATCGATGGATCCCGCCGGCTCCCTCGCTGTCGATTTGTTCGCAGCAGCGCTGCGTGCGACCGTAAGTGGCCGATCAACAAAAACAGGATTCTGGCTCTGCGATTTTCAAGCCTGCTGCCCGAAGACAGCTGTACCAGCTTGCGCAGTCGCACCTCTTTTGGAAGGACTCGGGCGGCCGGGTCGTAGCGCAGCATCTTGTCAATGAGATCCAGTGCCTGCCGTCACATTTAAGTCCCCAGATAGCTATAGAACAGAGCACAGCCTCCCGGCCTCTGGAGAGCAACGCTCTGCATTGTCCTGCGCATACTCACCTATTGCTGCTGTCTTTTTTCGTATTCGAGTCCTTGTTTTTGAAGGCAGACCACTGCTTTCGCGGCAGCGTCCTGCCATCAGCTATGTGCACGGTCGTCCCTCCCTGCACTGCCGAATATACGAAACTGTGAAGGCAACAAACTTAAGGAAGGCAGCTGCCGATTGCAGTTCCTGCTGCCACAGTACTAGCATTTGCTGTGCCAAGCATACATGCAGGAGTGCCTACAGGCTTGTCAATCTTGCAAGCTTGAGCCAAGGAGACCCCAAGCGTTGCTCCACTTCTAACTCGAGCTCCAAGTCGTATGCATCGAGATAGTCGTTGAGGAGGTCCGTCCCTAACACCTGCCGCAGGAGGTCGGACAAACAGTGTGGGCAGAGACAGCATACACCGTTGGCCGAAATGAATGCTTCGGGCCTTGGCAATCTTGTACAGCTGGTCAACATTATCTGCCCCGGCAAAGAAAGGCTCTTTTCGAAAGATCATTCCTGCGAGCATGCAGCCTCGGCACGGGGAGAAGGATAGCGAGTCTCGATACTAACACCGTAGCCAGCCGCCATGCACGACCGTCTTTGCGAAAGGCGAAGTGGACAAGACCGAACGGCACCGCAAGAATCGAATTTTGGATTTGGGTGGGGCTTGCGTTCCACAAGAGCGGATGAGTAGTCCGAAAAGCCGACAAATCAATCGTCCCGACTTGGCAAAGTCGCTTGGCGACCTTAAGCCCGCGATCTAGGGCTTTTCGGTAGAGGGTTAAGATTTGTGACCCAAGCCGTCGGAAAGTGCTGATGTGACTTTTTCTCAGGTCTGGACACGCATAAAAACTGAAAAACTCAAATAACCCTACTCTCCCGTCGCCCATGTCCAAAGGAAACCTTCATGCTGGTAACATCCTGCGCTGAGTAGCCGAAGCTCCAGATGTCCAAAGAGTAGTCGTAGAACGTATCCTTATTTTCTCCGATGCATTCGCTCCTTCGCCTTGGGCCCCCAATCCTGTGGATTCTGTGTCATTCAAAGATTCGTCCACAAGCAGCTCCGGTCCCTTGTAGTGCCGCGAAGCCACCCTGAAGCAAGCGTCCATGGAACGAACCGAGCTCAACTCCATTCTAGTGGATCTTGGTTTCCCCCAAGCATGTCGTCGTGAGCCGCTTCGCAACGCTGGGCTCGCTTGCCGGGCCTCACGTTGTACTCTGTCAGTGGGTGGTAGAACTCCGCCAAGCCCCAGTCCTTAGAATGCCACAACCATGCATCAATGCACCCGCTAGTCACTAAACGGATTCAGTAGCCAACTCTTAGGACTTGCTATTGTGTAACCCGGCCAAGTGGCTATCAGACGGACCTGCACAGGAAGGATGGGACGTCTCATGTCTGTTTAGCTTGAGTCTTGTTTCTGGCTCAGCGTGCTCTTGCCACAATCGTGTCCCACGCAATAACACTGAGCACATGTTTTGGACCTGCCATCGGAAACGGTAGACAACAGTATTAAAACGTGAACCCTATAACCTCGAAAGCCGCAACTGCCCATGGAACAAATCTGGCGTCTGCTTTAGGTATTCAGCAGATATTAGCAGCTTACAACTTTGCTGGCCTCGCGCTTGTCATGATCAATCATGACATTGTGCGGCTTGACCTTGCTACGATGAGGTGTTGATGGGGTTTGCTGCTGGGACGAGCGACATTGTCAATATAATGTCGTCATGGGTGGGGTGAATCCTGGTTCGCTCAATCGTAGCTGCCGATGCTGCTTCATCAGGCTTCCTGTTCACGCTCTGATGCGTTCGACAGACGAGCGAGGAACCATTGAAACCGCAGTCAGATCAACTTGGCCGAGACACATCTCGATGCATCAAGCCCTGTGAATGACTGTAATCCAACGCCTGACGAACGTGCAGCATGTCACTTCATCTTAGGTTTGGCAGTCTTTTTCGTTGACCTACGAGAGAAAAGTAACAGCTCCGTTGCAGGGTTTGTTGCGATATCACGGAGTCCCCTTGTCACGGGGGTCGCGGCCTTCAGGACCTGGTACAAGTAGAACTTGATGTCGTGCGGCGTCAGTTTTGGATAAAGGCTCCTTGCTCTCTTGTCGCAAGTACCAGTACATATTAGGTCTTCTGTCCAAGGCGAAGCCCCCAGACTGCTTTGCCTTTCTGCTCTGCACTTATTTCGCGCAATGGCTGCCCCGGCATGCGACATTGTACAAATCCCGAACCGGAAGCATACCTTCCGAAATCGTGGTCTAGAATTGACAAGGACATTGTAAGGACACGTGTGTGTGTGTGTGTGTGTGTGTGTGTGTGTGTGTGTGTGTGTGTGTGTGTGTGTGTGTGTGTGTGTGTGTGTGTGTGTGTGTGTGTGTGTGTGTGTGTGTGTGTGTGTGTGTGTGTGCGTGTGAACCTCCCTAGCACATGGGAGCAGAGGGTCACTCCTACACTGTTTGCAATTTCGCTTTTCAACATAATCCGGCATTGGACATTTACCAAATCAACTGTTGCAGGGGAGTGTGGCACTTGCGTCCTACCACACTCAACGAAGCTGTGGATGCAAGTGGGAAGCGGGACCTGATCAGTCCTGTGTACCTGCATGGCAGCCCCCTGTGGTGCCAAGATTAGTTTTGAGGACAGGCCCCCTGTGGTGTTCAGATTAGACAAACAAGTTGTACGGTTGCCACAATCTGACAAAACTTTGCAACATGAACAACATGCCTCTCTCTTTTCCTCTTGCACTCGTACTCTTGGCCGAATCCATCAGTGTGATCAGCGTGGGTCGTTGAGACTCCAGAGCAACGGCTTTCCGTCATGGCGCCGTGGTGACCCTCCGGGGAGACGGGTGATGAACCGGGTGTTCAGCCTTCGTTCAGATCGTTCAGAATCTCCCGATGCTACTTTATCTCTCTCTCTCTGATGCTCGCATGTGAGTCTGACATGAGTGCAGGTGCATTAAGGGACGGCTAATGCAGTAAAGTGCGTCTAGTGAGCAGGTGCTACCTCGCTAGTCTGCCCTCTATTCTACCGCTTCTTTATTCCTCAGGGACCGCAAGGGCATGTGCATCTGACATGAGTGCAGACGCGGTAACAGTGTCTACAGCAAGTGAAACAGCGCTCTCTTCGGAGAGTACTCGGCCCTCTTCCTTCTCTCCGTCTACGACCTCTCAAATCAGTCCAGCAGGGACAACCAGGACAGCCTGCACTTTGTTTGTGCAACTGTGTTTGTTTCACCCACTTCGTTGCAGCTATGTGGCCGGATTATTTTGCCGCGCAGCCACCAGCAACACCATATGCACCAACAGCCCGACCGGTGCTGAATCAATTTCACCCGAACACCTGGGTACCGCAGTCACAAAGCTACCCAGCAATGATGCCAACTGGCATTGCTGCCACTCAGCAACCCACACTGCCGACACAACCCACTACGATTCCTGTTGAGCAGACGCACAGCTTCCCCATGATGCCGTGTGGACACACTGCTCCTATTCCACAGCATCCGACGGTATATACACATCTCAGCACACCACAACCCCAGATGCCACAACAACCTCCACCCCAGCAATTCATGTCACAACACCCCCCCACTTTCCTGAACCCTGCTCTATTTCCTACCCATCCAACAGTTTTTCCCACGAGCCCATCAACTCTGACACCGCATCAGCCCCAGCCTACCACATACAACCTTCCTTTTACACCACCTGCTCCACAACCCCACCCTGCACCTTGCAACATCCCTTCCACACAACCCGCTCAACAACCCCACATACCGCCGCCAACAACACTCCAACAAGCTTCACAACTTCACCCCACCAGTGTTCCCACTACCGATGCCACACACATTGCCCCGCAGACACCGGCAATGACTCCCCAACAACAACCAACAAACACAGCCAACAACCCCTCCGTCAGCACATTGCCACCCACACAACCACCCCCGACTACGGGATCGGCAGACACCGACCAGTTTGCAGCACGTACTTCTCCCCACCATCCTCCGTTGCCACGCAGGCGACGGCGCTCACCCACACGCAGCAGAACTCGCACCGTGAGCACTAGGCGCCGACGTCGCACACGCAGCAGAGCACGACCGGCAAGCAGCGGGAGACACCACCACCGACGCAGACACCACCGATCCCGCGACACTCGCAGAAGTCGTTCTCGCAGGGACACCAGACAATCTTCGTCGACACCTCCGCGGACCTCGGTTGTGCTCCGTAGCTATTCTACAGTGCGTGATGATGATGCCAACAAGTGGCATTACAGAGCCACACAGCCACGTCATAGGCCACCTACCCCACCCAAGGTCCCACAAAGGACATTGGCCTCGCAGGTTCAGCGAATCGCCCTTCGCATCAAGGGCAGCCAAGCAGCACAACAGCAGCCCCCAACAGGCCAGGGCACACGCTCTCGCCAACAGGTTCAGCACAATCCCTCCAGCTCTATTCGGACACCTGCCCCGATTTTTGATGCATCCACAACTGCTGCCCCATCGGGTCAGCCAACCCTCGAACAACTGGGCAAACAGAGCATACCACCACAGATTGATGTGGCGCCTTTCTCTGAGCTTTACGATCATGAAAAGCCGACCCCCCACGCTGTCGACATGGAAGAAGCACATAAACTCGCCAAAACCTTGGGCGAGATAGCTGCTGACAGCGATTTCAGGCAGGAGACTTTAGCCGAATTTGCACATGCCGTGCTACAGTCGGGCACGCGATCAGCATGCAACGAACTGGGGGCAACGCTGACGCCAATATCGGACGGCGTACATACTATGTTATTCATCCCGTGGGCTGGAGAGACTCGCAGATCATTCGGCACTCGTGCCACCGACCCACCAGGGGAAACATACATCTACACCGCCGGACACGGCACGAGCATTGCAAGTGCCGCGCGCATAATGCGCGAGGACTTGGTCCGCCCAAGTTCAGTCAGCCATTGCTTCGACGACAAGTCCTATCCACCCATTCCCTCTTGCGTCATATACGGGAATGCGACCCCAGGAGATGTATCGGAAAGCACGGTACATATAGTTACCGATCAATGTACACGGCGGCCCAAGGGCCAACAGGGAGTGATCGTCATCGGGACAATACGGACTAAGTATCAGCATTACAAGATGACGTATCGGGACATGTACAGAGAAGCTTTCATCGTGGGGCGAAAGGGTGTCGTGCGGACCCCAGAGAAGTGGGGATTCCACTCGGGGCATTTCAGCATCGTTGGATTCGGCCTCATTCAGTGATGTTGCTTTCTTCTTTTTCTTCCGTGTCTTCTTTCACTTTCGAGTATATTTTCTTCCAGGCCTGAATCCCGTTGCACATAGCTGTTTGCAATCAAGCATTTGCTCCGACACCGCTTTTGAGCCAAAGAAGAGTCGATGCAGCTGCATGCTGGATGCATCGCACAAGTTGATGTTGACACTCAAGTCAACCATGTTGCTCATGCATGTTCCATGTGCAGCTTTTGCAGTCACAGGCAATTGTAGTGCCCCATTGTGCAACCATGTACAAGCCGACACAGCCTCAGTGGCATACAACAATGCCAGCAGGCATCATCGGTACAGCAATCAGTACGGTGCAGCGACAAACAGCCTCGACCAGTAGCACCCCAATGCACCCGATCTCCCCACCACCAGGGATTCACAACATCCCACCACACACCTCACCCCTAACCCCGACTACTTGGGGTTCAGCTCACACTTACAGCCACAACACCACTTTCCCACCTTTCCCTCCACCCCCTCCCCCACCCCAGCAGTTTCCCGGCCCAACATCACCCACCACACTGCCAACCCCCACACCTGCCACTCCCCAACACACATTTGTGAGTCCATCTTCGATGACGACTCGAAACCCCAGCATTTCTTCACATACATTACCTCAGGCCACCGTCACACCCCAACAACAACAACACCCCAATCCCACGCCTACAAATCCCCAGATACCAAACGACTTCGTTCAAACACCAGAGCATTGGGACAACAGGCAGCTTTTTTGCCTCAACCTACCCAAACACATTCAATCTACACCACATTCAGTGCACAACCGCACGGCAGGCATGCCAATCGCAACAGCACCATTGGTCGCATTTCTGCGACACAATTGGTCCTCGTACTGGCTACGGTACGCCGCACACGGCTTCGACATCCATCTCACATGCAGCAAACACATCAGCGAAGCCGTCTTTACCACTGAACTTATGGGTCAACTCCGAGCAAGGAGAATTGATCTGGACCAAGCGGCCACCGCATTCTGCTGGCAAGAAAAGCTCACACTCGCAAAACGACCAGCAATGTCACACCTCATCAAGGAATTGGTGTTGTACCTGCAAGAGCTGCAGGACCAGTACAATGATGGCAACAAAAAGGACAAGCAAGATGTCAAATCTGACACAGACAACACACAATCGCAACCCACCGAATCTCCAACACCACTACAATCCAGCAAATCACAACCTCATCTCCCACTTCAACCTTCGCAGCCGACAGAGGCAGACACTATGGCGGCACATCGCATCAGCGACCTGGAAGCACGACTTTCCACAGCACTGGAGACAATTGAAACTCTCCGTGCTCCGGATGCACACAATGAGGCACCCAGCACACCAGCACCAAAGAAACCAAAACGAACCACCGCACCCAGCACTCCCATCAACACGCCCTCTCCACCACCTCTCTCACTTTCCACAATTGAGATTTCCCCCACCACAACCACTCGTGGACAAAAACGTGCTACCATCGATGACTCTACACACACCGACACCAGGCCTACCACTGATGGCCTCTCCCCTTTCACCACAACCGCTGCAGAACAAGACAACAACCCGTTACATGCTTCCCCAGCATCGTCATCCACCACAGGTATGCACTTTCCGGGACGCTCCACTCTGGGCGCCAAGCGACAGAAGCAGTCAACTCTTACACCAACGAAGGCGGCACCCCTCGATCCCAAGATGGATCCCCAGCGCATCTTTCAGCAGCCTACAAAAGCCAGTGTTTGGTTTCAAGATCATTTCACTGGCGTTCACTCCGAATCCGGCATCACCAGATGGTTTGGTGCCATCAAAGGCATCAGCGACAAACAAAAAACACAGGTAAAAAAGTACCTTGACATTGTTGCTTCGGAATTCCCTTCACTCAGCAACTCACAAGAGCAGACACTGCAGACCGCTGCAGTCGCTTGGGGTGTCCCACCCAAAGCCATCGAC